AGAAGTACTGGAGGTACCTGGAATCTGTGTCCAAATCTTGGTAGATTCGACTGACTAAATAGTTGATTGGTTGTTGATTTGCGTTTGTGATTGGTTGCTGATTTGATGGTGATATGGTGGTGATTGGTGTTGATTGGTTGTTGATTTGGTGGTGATTTGGTTGTGATTTGGTTGTTGATTTGGTTGCTGATTTGGTTGGTTAGTTGTTGATTTGCATTTTGTTGGTTTGGAGGTTGTTGAGTTAAGGGTTTGATTTGTTGAATATGTTGGTGTAAAGTATTATTAGATTGTTGTAAGTTTTGTAATTGTTTTAAATAAACAGCATTTTGGGGTTGTTGCTGAATAAGTTGTTGTAATGCACTAATAGCTGTATTATTTTTATGTATAGCTGTCACATAATGTTGAAGGGATGGGAATACTTTATTTATGTTATTCATATTATTATTATTAATATTACCATTATTCATATTATTACCAGCATTAATACCATTATTATTAAAATTCATATTAATACCATTGTTATTTATATTATTATTCATATTCATATTATTAGCCATATTATTATGTTGAGGTGATAGATTTTGTTGGGGTTGATTTGTTAGTGTAGTGCCAGGTTGAGGACTCATTATTGGTTGGTTTGTAATGGGTGTTAAATTTGTTCTTTGTTGTGGGGATGTTTGTTGATTTGGTAAACCTGTGGTTGGGCTTCCAATTTTATTTTGCATTGATGGCTGTTGGTTGATATTCATTGGTAATGCCTTACTAGCCACCATATTTGGTTGTGGGATATTACTTGTTTGGTTAGTTGGTGGTTGTGTTTGTTGTGATTGTGGTGACATATTAATAAACTGTGGAGCCTGAGATGCTTGAGGAGTACTTGGAGTATTTTGTTGAGGACTCATAATTGGTTGGCTATTTGAATTAAAAGATGTTTGTCTCAAAGCTGGGCTTTGGATCGGTAATGGTTGTTGAGTTGGTTGAGAATTGTTCATTTGTGTAGCACTCATTTTATATATTACTGGGCCATTGGCCCTGAGGGAATGGAGGTCTGTTAATATTTTGTTGTAGGTTTTGTGGTTGAATTGGTTGTGTTTGTTGAGTATTTACAGTATTATTATTCATATTTATATTATTATTTTGTAATGGTGATTGTATTGGTAATGGGGAATTAGCTGGTATAAGTGGAGTAGTTTGAGAACTTTTAATTTGATTTATATTATTTATGTTTTGATTTGTGTTATCTTTTTTGGTTGATAAAATCATTTCTGAAGTAATACCACCATATAATTTACCATCTTGGTTCATTAAAAACATTGTTTTGGATGCAGGTGCAGGGATTTCAACAATTGGAAACAACTTTTCTTCTTGCATTTTTTTTAGAAGCGAAGTTAACTCTGGATTTTCTGCGTTGTTTTGAGGTACAAACCAAATAAAAGTCATATTCTTTGAATAAGTCTGGAATACATCACCACTAATGAAGCCCGAAATAACCAAGGTATCAGGCCAATTAACGCAAGAATCACCAGCCATTTTAGTTTGACCAAAAGCAACCAATGATGCAAACGAACCAGTATCATGACCATATGATAAATTACCACTCCAAACCTTATGGCTTGTTGTCTCGCTTTTCTTAGTAGTAATATTTTGGAATGTTTGTTGTTGTGGAGTGCTTGGTTGCTGTTTATTTGTTTGTTGTGGAGTTTGAGGTTGCTGTGGAGTTTGAGGTTGTTGGTATTGTGGAGTTGGTGGTTGTTGGTATTGTGGGGTTGGTGGTTGTTGTTGGTTAATTGGGGTTGGTGGTTGTGGAGTTGGTGGTTGTTGATAATGTGTTGGTAATTGTTGTTGAGGAGTTAAAGGCTGTTGTAAACTATTCAATAACTGTTGTTGAGGTGTATTGGGTTGCTGTTGTGGTGTATTAGGTTGTTGTTGTTGAATATTTGATTGTGTTTGATGATGATGAGATGGGGAAGTTGAAATTGGTGGAGTTCCTGGAGGTTGCACATTTAAAAAATTACCTGACATTTGTCTTGATAATGCTCTTGTTGGTTGGTTTGGAGTTGATGGTTGCTTATTATTAACATTGTTTTGAGATGGAGAAAATGGGTTTGGTGGAGGATTTGGTTTTTGTACAGGATATGGTGGTGGGTTCGGAGATAATGAAACACCCAAGCCTTGTGGTGAAGTTAAAGCAGAGTCAACTGGCTGAATGTTTATAAATGGTGGTGGTTGTGGGATTTGTTGTGATGGTACAACCTGAGTATTTTGGTGGCTTATTGGTGTTGGTGGTTGTTGGTAACTAATTGGTGTTGGTGGTCGTTGGGTGTTTGTTAAAGGACTAACCAAATTATAGTTTATTGGTTGTATATCCGATTGCTCATTCAGTGTACTTATTTGTGAATTAGCAACAGCACTATTATAGGGTGTTATTCTGTGGAACCAAAACTATTAAGGGGTGTACCTGGTGAATTAATGCTAACAGAAGGTGATGAAATATGGCCACTATGTTTTATGTGCCCATTGATCTTATTTATATTTAAATTATTTGATGGGGATTGAATTGGTTGCGATAAATTTGGTTGTATTTGAGAAGGAACCTGTTGCTGGGTTAATTGTGGTTGTGCTGATAAATTTTGTGATGGAATTGGTGGTTGATACATATTTACATTACCATTTGAAATGGTATTATTTGTTGTTTTAATATCATCGATATTATTACTATTTATTACAGAAGATGGTACCGATATACCATTATTATTATTATTATTATTTTCATTACTATTATTAGTATTGGTATTTTGAAGGATAGTTGATGTTGGACCAGACTCTTCCTGTTGCTCCAGATTAAATAAAATTTGATTTTGGGATTTGAAATTTGGAAAACCTCTTAATCCGGCATAAATTAAATCATCAATGATATGTACACTTGAATCATCATTAGTTTGAATTATATTCGAATCAAACTTGTCAAATAAAGATTCTTTTAAAGTTTTTTGTGGAGAGATTAATGAAAATTTTACATTTTTCTATAAAAAAAAAAATTATTAATAATTTAATATAATCAACTTATTCATGAAAAATTTAAAAAAAAAAAAAAAATACCCTTATACATTCGTCTATATGACCAAAACAATCAAAAATCCCACATAGTTTGCATGTAGTATCTCTTGGGGGATTGTTTGTTATAAGTATAAAACATCTCTCTTCGATCGGGATTGAGGTAGAATAAGACATCTTTAAAGCTTTACAAATACCCTCTGAAACTGCCCCTCCATTTGAAAAACCACCACCAATAAATCTAGTTTGGGCTATCATTTGAAAAATAATTTTAATATCCTTTGTGAATGATGATCCTTCTGCAATATAGTCACTATATGGTGGATAATCTCTGAATAATACTAAACCAAATAAAAAATTAAAAGTCTGTGTATAAATAGAGAATATTGTTAATAAATTTTCTTTGAAACTTTTCAATAAAATTAAATTATCTGATACTTTACATTTGACTCCTCTTGAAAATATTTAACCAATGGCTCCATATAACTTGATTTTATTGATGGAAAAGAATGTGCCATCATTGCTGTGGAGTCCAAAATGAAAATAACTTGTTTATTTGGTTTCTCATTTACTGAAAATGGCGCTATTGTTTTATTTATAGTAATATTGTTATTATTGTTTAAAGATACTGTTCCTTTTACTAAACCCTGTACTGTATTGTTGCTACTATTGTTATTTGAAGTTGCTGTGGTGGTAGTATTAGTAATACTATTTAAAATACTCTGTGAAGTTGTATTATTTATAATATTTGTTGATGTTATTGGGGAAGGGGATTAGGCCTGTATTATTATTAAAAGATACTCCTATATTACTATTATTATTAAAAATGGGGAATGTTGGTATTGCACAACTTTCTATATTACCATTGTTGTTCGATCTATTATTTAAAAATGCCATTGCTGAAGGTGTATCTGTATCCGGCATGAGAGTGCCCATTTGTGATGGAACAAAACCTCCAATAAGATTTAAATCGGCCATCGTTGACATTGGAGTTGCAACAGAATGGTTTGTTGTGATTGTTGCTGTTTCGGGTGAAACCATTCCACTATTATTTGCTAATTGTTGAATAAAATGGCTATTGTTTTGATGCGAAATAGTTGTCAACATCTTCCTATTTTATAACTATAATATATAAATAATTTTTTATATATATGAATTTTTTTCTTCTTCTCTTCTCTTCCCTATTTTATTTTATTTATATATTTTTCTTTAATAAAAAAAAATTAGAGAAAATTTTTAAAAAATTAAAAAAGAAAAAAAAGAAAAAAAATATTATAACTATTAATTACTTGAATAGCAATAAATTGAATGAATTATATAAATAAAAAAATAATATGATTTCTTAAAATTAATATTAAATTTAATTATTTTAATATAAAAAATTTAAAAAAAAAATTTTAAAAAAAAAAATTTTAAAATTAAAAAACAAAAACTGAAAAAAAAAAAATAATAAAAATAAACAAAAACTGAAAAAAAAAAAATTAAAATAAAAATAATTGATTAAATTGATAACTGTAAACTTTAGTTTCTGTAATATTATTTATATATTTTATTTATATTTATTTATAATATTTTATTTATTAATATTTTTTTTATCCATTTTATTTTTTTTTATTTATTTTTAAAAATAAAAAAAACCAATTGTTCCTTTTATTTTAATGTATGGGGGGGGCGGAGGGGGGGGAAATACCGGGTGTTTTTTTTTTTTTTTTTATGAATATTTACATGTATAAATTTTGATTTTGAATAATTTGGATTATTTTTGAATGCTGCTTAAAAAATTAAATTTTTTACAAAATTTGTTATTATTATGAATATTTTAACATATGTAACTTAATACATGTATGTATGTTGTTTTTGAAATAATTTTTTTACATATAAAATTAATTTAACTACAATGTATATTAAATTTTTCAAATTATATCTAGATTTTATGTTGGGTATAATTTTTTTTTTTTTTTTTTTAAAATTTATAAAATTATGAGTAACCATCCATATGTCAGAATTTTTTGAAAAAAAAAAAAAATAAAAAAAAATAAAAATAAAATAGATAAAAAATAAAAAATAAAAAATAAAAAAAAAAAGTTTTAGAAGCCCAAATGATGAGTTTTAAAAAAAAATTACACAACACACAATTTTTGTTTAAAACAACGAAATAAAATTTTAGAACTAATACTACAGGTGAATGAACAATAAAAAAAAACCAATAAAAAAGAAACAAAAAATGATACTATGCAATTAAAATTTGAGTTATTGTTTTATTGTTATTTGTACTTTTTTTATATAAATATTTAGATCGATGAAACCAAAAATAAAAAATTGTGGAAAAAAATAAAAAATAAAAAAATTAAAAAATAAGAAAAATATTTTTTTGATTTTATTATTTTTTTGTTTTAGAATTTTTTTATAGGTGATATATTATTGATGTAATATTATTATGAGGTTTATTGAGAAAATTTTATTTTGTTATTACTTCTATTAATTATATAATATTATCATAAATGTATAGGAGAGTTTTTTACTGATGATATTGAAAGATTAATATTGTCTCTCTTTCCAACCAAACTAAGTGCTCATACTATGTTTTTTTCACCGAAATAAAATTTTAAATTTCTAAAATTCTTTTAATTTTTAAACGATTATTTTTTGTGTTGAGAAAAAAACATAAAACAAATATACATAAAAATACATAAATCACAAATGTAAAAATGCTACGTAACTACCAATAAAAAAAAAAAACGTAAAATAAAAATTATACTGTAATGGTTATTGCGTGATTAAAGAGTGCATATGATTTAAGAAAAAAGACTTACTATTAATTTTTTTTT